TTGTCACGAGAGCCATTAAATGACCGGGCATTTTTTGAGGTATTCGCGAAAAGAAGCGTCGAACACTGTTAGACACATATTGGGTGATTTAGTTGATTATGACAAAGCACACGAGGGTTAGCTGCATAACGGGAGTGATGTCTTCGTGGGCGACTTTCTAAGAGAAACTGTCACCTATAGGGGAAACTACGAAAACGGCCATACAGACAGCCCGTTCGCGGAACTTGGACCTCGGACAGAACTGCCAATGTACAATCTTCGAATAATAGTATGTTAGTCTATAGCAGAATATTGGACGATGTCAGCAATTGTGAACATCAAGGAGGTTCTTAAAGTAGTCAGATGTGACTTGCTGCAAACTGTTGCGGCATTTTAGACATTTCTATGAGTGATTTAATTTGAATAACCGTCTGGTCTGAGAGAGTATATGTGACGTGGACCAAGAAAAGATAAAACTTTATTCGCTTAATTTTAATTGTAACAAACAATTTAAATATCCACACTACAATAAAGTCTTTGTATCATCATTCATCGATACATTTATTTCTTACCAGTGGAGCATACGACTTTGTCTCCGATTTCTCTTACATTTTGCATAAATATAAATGAATTATAGTTAAATGCATATAAGAGATGTCGAGTTAGGAGTCCTGTGCGGTACCAGGCTATCGATGTTTGCTAAAGAGAAAAGAACTTAAATAATATGAATATTTTTTTTTTAAATTTTAGCCTCGATTTGCTTGCTTACTTTCAAGACGTATATTAACTTTAAGGTCCACTAAAGATTAGGGGAAATCGGAAAAACATATACATACTTCTTTTGTTAGAACGACACTAGAATGATAAATTTCTAAGATACAGTCTCTTCGCAAAAAAACTTGTTTCTTTTTCCATAGACATATTTCCCAGTTGAATCCTTTCTTTGTGTGTGTTAACAGTTAGAAAGAAACTGCCATATCCGATGTAGTGTTTTGTTTATTTTTGCTAAGATTCTGTTTATAGCCTTTAAAAGTTCGGTGCTCCCGCACATTCAGTTATATCGTTTTTGATTTGCGAATTTGTTTTCAAAATTCAGCTTTTGTTTCGCGTAAATTTATAGTGAAAAGGCTGAATAATAATCCTTTCAAGAAAGAAGGTGTTATCTTCGTACCTATAAATATATTGTATAATTTTAAGGTTAGTGTTTTGATGTTCAGTATTCTAATTCAATATATAGTAGACAAATTCATGCAACATTTGCATGAATTCAATTGAAGTATTTTAAAGCTGTTATCTCACAAATATATTTGGGAATAACAAATCTTTTGTGCAATATTTGTGCTTTGTCATGTAATACCAGGTTCTGCATACTGTCAGGATTACCAAAGACAGCGGGTACTCGAAATGGCTGCCCAAATGCTGACTTAATTAAAAAGGTGCAGTCTACAGCTTTCTGCAAATAGAAGTAGAAAAAAGACGTACACCTTTATTTTTTCAGTGGTTTATTCAATAGGAAAACGATTTGAAACTGTTGTATTTTCAAAATGGGAGATGCGTGATAGAACTTTACGAATTACAAATGATTAGTTCAGTTATCGACTTTTTTTAAGTTTACTTATGTTTGAAATTCACTAATGGGAATATATTTAAAGATGTATTAATAGTTCATTGCATTTTTATATTATTATAAGCTGCCTTCGCGTAAACATGCTTCACTTCAACATACGTCAATTTCAGCTGACGGCAGAGCTTATATGCTGAAGAATGGTCTTTTAAATTTCTTAACAAGCGCAAAGAGTCTTGCAGTTCTCACCACCTTTATCAGAGTTTATTTAAATTTAACAAGCTTAAATTTCAGTTATAAGCCGCAGAGAGTGCGTAACGTCTCCCAAATGCGAAATAGTCATTAAAATGCTCTGCTACTAGAACGTCACTTGGAAACAGTCATTGTCACTAAAATATTTGATGGTCAGAGAACAGCATGTTTCATGGCACAGCAAAGAGGAAATGAGACGTACAGAATTTCTACGCCTCCATGTCTTGGTCAACGGCTCCGAGTGCTAATTTGTAAAAGCTATAATGAAACGGGCCACCGCCCTGTCAGTTATGTAGTTCCAAATTTGATAAGCAGTTCAAACATGTTAGTTTCGACAAAATTTATATTGTAAAAATAAATCGGGCTTTATTCCGTTGGGGTTACCACATTAGATACTAAATAACAAATAAAAAATTTCTTCTTTTGTTTCTAGGATTTGAATATGTAATTTACAGAACTCGTAAACAACAGGCAATAAATAGTTGCTTACATTTTATTGCATTTGTAAAAATGCATACTAAGTTCAAAGGAAATGCATTGGAAAAGGTGGAGAATATATACACTTCCTATGACAATCTCTTCAACACTATAAATAAATATGATTCATTGGTAATTTATCTAGGTAAGGGCTTATGCTTATTAATAAATTCCCTTATTAGTTTGCCTGCATTATTACTTCTACTTTTGTTGGCTCTCACCAGGAAGAAAGTTAGTAATGTATATGACAACAGAGTTCTTAAAGTTAGGAGAGAGATTTCGTCAGCGACTGCTCATATGTCCACTGCATATTTTGGACAGTTTCTAAACTGACATGAATCGGGTTTAGTCTTTGCTTACGTGGATTCATGGTTTGAGCCAAAATTAATGGGCACACTTTATCTTGTGGACATCATGTTTTAAATAGCCAAGTTTGCCTTTAACTCTTGAGTCATGTTAATTACGAAAGCAGCGGAGTCGCTACTACACGAGCTATGTAAATTGTTCGAGTGAAGACCTTAATTTGTTTTAAACTTTCTCCTGACTTGGTGCTACTGTACTGAACGGTTAGGTCCAGGAGATAAGTCGACGGGCTATCCTTATGCATCCAGAGAGCATTTTAGTGAATCTTTTAAATAATGCAAAGAATGAGCTTCTAAATATTTAAATTATAAGAATGAAGTTTCATATGAGAAAAGTTAATATTAGATGACAGCTTTCTCACATAGCAGATTACAAGTAATACAATCCATTTTTTATGAATCCAGTTTCCCTAAAGTATTAATAACATGGAAAGCTTGGACAGTTTCACTGACATGACAGCTATTCGTAATATAATATACCAGGAAAATAAGACCTTGATATTCATGATTAATTATAGTAAAGCACTTTAAATATCTGAAGAATTTAAACAAAACAAAAAATCTGAAATCTTCAGATTTTAATGGTGATCCGAAAGGCTTTGCTACGGTTTTTTACGCTCTCGTTGAACTCCCAGTCTACCAGTCTGCTGTTACACTCACTTCTACTGACCCGTTTCTTTTCTGTCTTTTTAGCTTTATTTTCTTCGCACATAAGCCATAAACTATTCAACAGCAAAATTACAAAAATTTTAGAAGCAGCATAGCAGTATACGTTTAGAATTCTCGATTCATCGTTAATATTGGCATAACGATTTCTGTTGTTTGCAGTCTTTTCTCAGTTCATCATATCAAAGTTCAGTTTTCTTAATGTACTTTCTTACTTTACAAATTTTTTTTTTTGCTTTCTTATTATTGACATTCTGTTTGTTTACATTATGTATTTAATATCACGTTCTTGGCGCTTACGCAAAATAAAAATCGATTAAATAGCAAAATCGCAAAATAATTAAGAGCAGCTTATCTTTAGAATTTCCGAAAAGCGCGCTGGAGATAGAAATATTTTATTCCGTACGGTGTTGTCACCGCTCGCTTTGAAATTACTGAGTGTGCTAATCAAAAATTCTTTAAAGTTTTGCAAAATAAGAAATAGGTAATAAAACAAAATCGAAATTCAAAATTCGGTCTCCCAGGTGCCTATATTTGGATGGAGGACAAAGTTATTTAAAATTTAATGGCTCTTGGTCTCTTTTGTTTTCCACAATGCGAGAAACATGCATACATTTTTGCAAATTTTTCATTATTTAATTTCCTTAAACATAACACAGGTCGATAATATTTGGTGACAACAATTCGAAATGTGAAACAAAGTATTTAACAAGGAGGTTAGAATAGATGGAATAAGCATGACGTCACAAAAGGTAAGCCAAGAAAATGTGAACAAGGTGAATTTAAGATTTATCATGGCTACCATACAGCGTAAGAATAAGACTTCGCAATATATTAAGTAAAATTACACTGAATTCGAAAGCAAATATCATCAAAAAAGAAGACTCAGAAATGTGTCCTTAGCCATATTTTGTGTAAAATACCATTTAAACGTTCACTAATTTTCCAGGTTTTAACATGTTCTCTTACAGTTACCATTTACACATTTTCATGTACCGAGATTTTAGTAAATTTGAAACGGGTATCTGCAATCCATGTGGTTTTTCTATATATTAACTAGGGAATCTATGTTATTGAGTACTAAAATTAGAACGGGAAACTTATAAAGATTCAATAATGCATAGTTAACATATAGACAACGTCGGTTAGAATGTAAATAAAATCAACCAGAAATGTACCTATGACGGCAGCCATGATGTAATACCCTGACGCGTAATGGCTTCATTTTCATTGCACGGAACATATGAAGGAGCCTTACTTTCTTTATTCTAACTTTTCTGGCATTTAAGTGTTTCAAAGCAAAATGCTGTTTCGAGACTAACTTCATCCCATTCGGGACTAAGGTTTCATTTGGGCTAAAAATTCAGTATTTAGAAACAATCAATGGAAAAAAGACAATGGTATTATTTAAGCTTATTATAACTTCTACAAAATAATTATAACTTCTACCAAATATAACATTCTTAGTTTAAATTAAATTGAAGGCATGCATTTATGCAGTTTATATGAGACGTTTGTGATTGTTTTTACTCAGGTATGTGTTTTTTATACGAGATAAAGAACGTATTTGGTTGCATCTCATCGTTGAGCTATAAAAGGCATTTAATTAATACCACATTTTTCTTGCATAGCATTATATTTTGTTTTTCCTATTATAACAAAGTCGAATCTGATTTAATGTGGTATTGCTGTTCTTTCAGGTAGCTTGGATCCATACCGACCGATATACTTTGCTGACCCTCCAAAATCGTGTCATCACTCGAAATTCTCGTTACAAAGTAACTCACAACAGTCACAGAACATGGTGGTTGCATATATCAGAAGTCCAAGAAAGGGACAGAGGGGAATACATGTGCCAGATAAACACCTCTCCTATGAAGAGCCAAACTGGATATATTGAAGTTGTAGGTAAGAAAAAGTTATACGTTTTCCACTTAAATGTTTCTTTTTGATATAAGGAGAACTGCTAACTATTGTTAAGTTTACTACAGTTATTATCATTGTTAAGGTAACTACTACTATTGTTAAGTCTACTACAGGGTTATTATTATTGTTAAGCTAACTACTACTATTGTTAAGTCTACTGCTAACGTAAGTCTACTAGAGTGATTACGATATTTCATTTTCAGTCAGCAATCATTAACAGTTATCAGATAAAATTTTAATTATAGTTATTATTTATTAATTAATCAATTATAAGATAATTTTAACTATAAGGCAATATTAAGTGGGCCTTAAGATGGGTTTAATGATAAATTATAAAATATTATAAAACTTCGCAAGTTTTTTTCTGCTTTCATTTGAAGTGTATTTCCATTCTTTATGCATATCATAGGAAATATTAATATGCATTCGTATATAAATGATCGTATAGTGAAAAAATAAAAATTACATATTATGAATACACTGAGTAGGAATTGAAATATGCATCCCCTTTAAGTCTTGACATCTTTTATGTCTCGAAGTAAATTTAATGCACTTGTAACAAAAAACTAAGACTTTCAGGAAAAATCATTAAAGTTCACTTACTCAGTAAAAGCTTCATAAACAGAGAAACGATTTGATATTAATATATTAATCCGAATTTGGTTGCATTTTTGAAGATTTCCCGGCGTAGTCTGTTGATCAAGAACTATACTAACTGAAAATTGACGACTAGAGAGGTAGAGAAGAGCTGTGATAAAATTTCTAATATTTGTACTTAAGCATCATTTTTGAAATTATAACATTCTGGTACTTAGATGTAATTTATATTTTTTTTTAAATTTAACCAGGAATTAATATAATAAATGGAATCTGTAGAACATCTCGTAAACTCCCTTTCGTTACTCTGACCACGGATTTGGATGAATTCCTTTTTCAAAAGAATTATAATCAATGTATAAAAAAACCAATAGCCAAAATCACCAGATGCTGAGGAATTTATTAGGGATTTTAGAAAGATTAAATATAACTTTAAAAAGGCAAACAAGAGAGCGATAGGGGATAATGGAACCCAATCGCCAAATCTTGGCGGTGACGAAGTATCGTCCACCAGCGTTTAGTTCGGCCGCCACTGTACAGTTATTAGATTTAGTCGAGTATGGTTTCAGTCACACCACGAAGGCATGCAGAAATGAGAGAAAAAATACCCTATATGGTAGCATATTTAAGACTTAAGTTTCGTTTCTAAGAAACAAAAGCACAAGAAAATTATTAAATCAACATAAATTGCGAAATATACTTCGCAGATAACAAAATTGTTATTTTGTATAAAATCATCTAAACAAAAATTAAATTGTTTCCATCAAAGACCGAGACCATCAAAGATCGTTTAAGGACCGAGACCATCTTTTTTCCAGCAAAGATTATGCACATTTTCTTGCGTTTTAAACAGACAATTTGTTTTATTCCTTTCAGATTTTTAACCGAATATTTACCGACTGTCGAGACAAACAGAAGCTATTCATTTTGAGCACGATATTCTCAAATGGTTTTAGTCAATGGCTATTACAAAGAGCTCATTTAGACGAATTTTCCGTTCTTTTAAATAAAAGTAATGGCTGCCTTGGTTACTCTGTCATTAATTTCTCTATTCCTTATTTTATGACGTTCAGAACTATGCACAAAGAGTGATCTGTATTTTTAAATAGAAAATTTGGTAACTTCTATAAGTTAAACATTTCAAATATCCCAAGATTCATTTACTTAGGACTCCTTTCCATTTAACACGTTTTTGAAATTTCTCAATTAGAATATTATTCTATTTTTTTACCAGATAATGACATCAAGAAGAATTCCTAGCCAATTTTCGTAATTAAATTAGAATTTTAACAACACTAAAATTACCTTATATGTTCAGTCATATCGAAAATTTTAAGAATATTTTATTGTGATAATTAGGTATTTTATTTTGGACCATGAAATAGAACACCAGACCATCCGATTGCTAGCCGGATGTGCTTTTCACTTATACCACAAAGACACGCAGCAAGGAGAGAGGAAAACCTTAAAAATTTGTCAAAATTACTTAAAAGTAATTTCCTAATTAGAATAAATTAATAACATCTGAATATTCTGTTACAGACAGTTTCGAAAATGTTAAACGGCTAAATACCTCTTCAAGGATTTTGTCGTAGGCTCATAGCGAAAGATTAATGAGAAGATTCAAATAAAGTAGACTATCTCACTACACAAATTTTTGTTACGTTTTATATTTTATTAAAAATCTTCGAAATTTCAATTTGCATAACGAATGCACATAAGGAAAGCGTTTTATGTAACTAAATCAATCGAATAAAAGAGGTCTGTATTTATAACGTCAATATTCGAATTACTCTTAATTAAAAATTTGAGAGGCTGTCTGTAAATGTCGTTGTACACAGTTGTGCTTGCTACATAAGACGAAAGAAAGAAATTCCAAATTTGTTAAAAAATATTTTAAATCCAAAAATGCCTGATTTTTAAGCTAACGTTTGTAGAAATATTACAGAAAGTGTTTATGTATTTTTAGAACAATTTCAGTGCGTTTAATTAATATTGAAGAGTACTTTTAAATGCTAGACAGGATAACCTTCTTCTCTACAATACGTGTCTGCATCGGAACTTTTATGATAAAACTGCTTTTCTTTAAATTTCTGAATTTATCAATTTCTATTCCTCTTTCACAACTTGCCAGAATCCGTCATAGCTTTAACATTTGTTTACATTCTTCTTATTTTTTTATTTTTGACTGTAATAGAATCTGTTGACAATCTTAAATCGCTTATTGAAACTCTCATTGCATTGGCGGAACTAGGTTTGCAATTTTATTTTCCCCTTTCGTTTTCGAAAATAGACCTTTTTTTTATTGAAGTCCATTATGAATCCAGTACTACATCAAGTATCACAATGTACTTATCCTTTTTCATACAGAATTCTATAAATTATTCTGCGTTGATCCACATGCCTCGTAAGATTGGTAAGCATTGTGCCTTTTAGATTTTTTAAGATGTAAAACTTGGATTTATTATTTTATTTATTGTTGTTACAGATGTATATTAATACTTTTCAAATGATTTCTTCCCCGGCGGATTTTCTCTTGTTAATCATGATTTAACTTTAGAAGCATAAGAAATAATACGTACCTTTTTTTATTATTCGGTTGGAGTCTTCATTTCGTGTAGAAGTACTGATTGTCGGTTTTTTCCTTTCCGATTAATAATGTTCCTTATTTTGCAGTTCGAAATTTTAATACCATGCACTTAGCAAAGTTTTTGTATTATGGAATAGGAAAATATTTCTCTTTGGTAGAGCGCAAAAACATATTCTTCAATCCACAGCTCGTTTACAAGTGACATTTTGGAAGAGGTATAAATTCAGAAGTAGTTGAGATATTTTCATTTCGAATAAGCTACTGTCAGAAATTTTTATTCCAAAACATTTGCATTTTAAATTTTTTTATTGAAATATTTCAAAAAATTTGTCATTTTCCCTGCAAAACTCGAAATTTGGAATCCACTGAAATTGAATTTTGCGGGACTTTTAACACTTGAACTGCCGCGTAACCCACCGGTGGATCACGATAGGTTTATTTTTGGGTTCTTGTGAGTCACCGGTTGGTCACAACAGTGTTCGCTTTTGTGTCCGTATATACCGCTGGTAGCCCACCTTTTCTGCAGTTTTATATGGTAATATAAATTTCTTCATTCTCAAATCTCTTTGCTCAAACTGGTTCCAAATTACAAACGTATGTAATTTCATAACTTCTTTATACTCGGAAAATGTATGACGTTCTAAAATTCTGGAAATAATAGTCATTTTGTTTTCGTAAAAATTAATGAAAAGATATGAATATATACTGCAGTGTTTTAGGAAGCACAAAGTATTCAAATCGCAGAAAATGCAAGGAATTATCACATTATTCCATGCATGTCCTTGTTGTGTAAGTGTTTAGTACATCCAGCTGGCAACTAGAAAATCTGTGATTCAAGGTCTGGAGAACGCAGTTGAGCTTTAATGCTTCCTTCTGCGAAAAACCTAACAGCAGTACGTAATGTACTGAAGCAATAATCCATTCTAAAATTTCGTATTTTCTGCAAGAATCTAAAACAGCTTATAATTATTAATAATAATTCTATTAAATACTAAATTATTTTATAGAATTAATATAAAGCTATTAAGTTTTACTGATGTTCTTGCAGTCTTACATCATTTCACTAGGTATGCTATTCTGCGCAAAACACATGTTGGACTAGAATTATTAAGTATTGACAAAGATTTTAATTTATTTTTTTTTATTTTACAAATGCCAAACATTAGCGCTTAAGTCAGTTCACGGACTCTCTAGTACTTTTTAACAATGTCCTCATACTGAGAAAGTCCAATTTAAATTCATAAGTTGATTGGGCTCACCCGAAAGACAGTTTGGGGAGTCCAGCACTCCAGTTCTGTAGAGGTGATCTCGCAAAAAGTCATGTCCAGTCAGACGTCTAAATAGAGCTACCGTTGTCTTTCTTGGAAAACTGGAAATGGAAGTTGTCTCTTCCCCTATAATCCTCCATTTCTTATCCATAGCACGTTGAATCATATTCTTTTTAAGAACGTTTTAAGAGTCAGGCTAAGAAACAATTTGATCATATGAAAAGAAAGCAGTAGATTTATTCGTTGCACTTTTCTTAGCCAAAGTATAAGCTTTTGCCCAGAATTGCGTTGCTCAGAATTCCACAGTGGGCTGGATTCTACTGGAAATAAATTCTGCATGCCACTGCATTAAACAAAGGCCTGCGTTCCCAGATTCTTTGGGAACTATTTTGATTATTCAGAAGGGCTATAAGCGCACTTTTGGAATATGATACTATGACTGCCTTTACAAAAGAGTGGCTACGAATCAACAGTTATTGAATAGCCACAGCAATGATCTTCCCATCAAAGGCAGTAAGTAGTAAGAG